TTTAAACGATTCCAATCCTAATAGTGGTATGATATTTTTTATAAAAAAGTCAGTGTCAACTCGAGACTCTTCATTCATTTTTTTTTTTTTAGGAAATGAAACGCAACAAACCAGAGATGGCAAGTATTTAAAACAGTTACCGTTTAAACACTTTCTTCCAATGACGCTCTTAATGGGCTCATTAAGCTCCCAAAATTCTCTTAAAATGCATTTTTGTTCGTGTAACAGCGGAATGTCTCTGATTCTCGAAGTCGGTGTTGCCGCAGCAACTGAGACTTCTATTTTGATTCTGTTATTTCGCGACGCAAAACAACCCATGGTATTTACAATTTTGACTGTTAAACCTAAAATGAAGATGTGTAGACCCTAGCTGAATAGATTAATGAATCTAGCTGTTTTCCCTTGAGAAAGCTGTCATCCGCTGTCATGATGGGTTATGTATAAAAACTCTGACGTTATCTGTGCAAAACGTATGTCTTTATATCGACCAACATCTTGACTTGTTGTACACACTAACTGAAAAGGAAAAAATTCCGAATGTCTGCTCGAAAAAATTGCCATTTGGTCGAGAAAGAGCAGATAAGCCCTGTCTCCACCAAAAGCCTTGATACTAGGCTTAGTGATTCGTGCATAAGTGACCAGTTAAGATTCTGAGTTGTTCCCCTGATATGTTTCGAGCCTAAAACTGTCGCCGAATAGTCTCCCTTGGCGATTGGGCCTCTATGATGAGGTATTTTGAAATGTTCTTACTCCTATTAAATTGCAGATGTCGTTGGACTAACCATCAGATATTGATGGGAAACCGCTAATCTTCAAGCACAATTAAAGCTAGTTCTGTAAGTATAGACAATTTGCAGTTATACGCCATACTTATGTAATTGGAAGAATTCATTTCGCGACCTTCAAACCACTAATTGTCTAATATTTTTGCGGTACTTTCATTATTTATTCATTACAATTTCGTGTAAAAAAAATACGCGTGAATCATTATATTGGTGCGGAAGAATTATACTTCTTTAGTTATTTCGACATCCCTCAACGTACGAATTCAGGCGAATTTATTCATTCGATAAGTTGTGGAGTCCGAAATTAAGAGCGTCCCATCTACTAGAAAATATTGCGCTGTGGAACATTTGCGCTAAAATGGAACTTGATACCTGTTCAAGACAAAGGGATTTTTCATAAAATCTTTGCTTCGAATAGTCAAATGATGATTTGAACCCTTCCAGACAAGTAAAAGTAATCCTTCGTTCTTAACGAGGTGATTTGTGACAGTTATATTGCTGTGTGTAATTTTGAAGTGATCCTTAATTGACATACTCCAGTACATGACGAGATATAACCTCTCTTAGTTAGATTAACTTTGTATTCTTCCTTGATGTGACATAATTAAAAATGACGTCACAAACTTGGGCTCCAGGCTTCTGCAGTGATCATGATGCTGACGAATAATGCAATGAAAGTATGTCTGTGACGAGAAAATTTTGTAGAGATTTTATTCTACGCATTAGCGTTAGTTCATGTCTTGTGTGAAATTATTTTGGTTTGAGTTGATGAAATTATCTGCTGAGAACTTCTATTTGCGATTTCTTGTTCAACCCGACAGAAAACAAACGAAAGGAAGAAAACAATGGAGAACAATTCTCAAACTAAATCTTCACGCCACTCAATGATGTTTTACAATGTAAAAGGGAAGAAGAGCTCAAAAGAAACTTAGGAAAGAAAGCAGGCCAGGGACACGCTCCAGAGGTTCAAAAATGGTGAGGATCTGAGTGGTAATTATAAACGACAACATAAAACATTAAATCTAAACTACCATAACTTACAACTTAGTTCTTTTTTATTTATTCAGCACAACGCTTAAAAGGAGAATTGAGAGGTATGTATCTTTGCATCATAAAGAGAGTGGCTTTCTATTCTTGAAACCCCCACGGATTACTGCTGCTGGAGTCTGTGCAAGGTCAGTCCAACTAACCTGAGGTCGGTATATACTCATTGCACACCTCATGAGAAAATGATGGGACAGGGAGGGAAAATCAGGGCGTTGGCTAAATATATCGATTTCAATTCAGTTATTTTTAGATTGAAGCGGGAAGCATTGTGGTTTCCTAATTTAGTTTCTTTATTGCCAAAGTCTAAGATTAAAAGAGCCAATCTCCTCGCTGTTTGCCAATACATCAATTTTATTCACTGGCGACTGCGGCTCACTGAGAGAGGCTGAATGTTTTTCGACACGAATGCGATGCGTGACATGTGCAAGTAAAAAAAAAAACATGACAACCGTTCAAGACTGAAAACTATGAATAATACTGTCCCATTATTTTCCGTTGACGTCTCTAATGCACGCAAATCTAATAAAAGGACTGTTAAAGGGCTGTGAAAGAGATTGGATAAGTTGTTGGTAGGATAAGATCGTAGCTATTCTGAGTCACTATGACTTGAGGTGGCAAAAGTCATCTGTTTGTGCTTGTGTCATTACTTTAATAGAAGAGATTCTTCCATAGTTGAAAGGTTGAAAATATATCGATGAAAAGCAAAACAATAGTTTTCTGAATGCGAAATCCTTCGTACGCTTTAATCTTTAGTTCAGTATATATGTCCTATATTTGTACGGGTACTTCAAGGAATGGCGTCAAAATCCACGGTGGTCCCTCTCCTTCATCCTGGCCTTGCTCCTCCCCCTCAGTGGCCTGCAGGCGGAAGTGACCGGTATAGTTGAGACGAATGTCCTTGATAATCAGCTGCAAACAGGATAAGTGGAGATGCCCACTCTTGTAGGTGCGGTAAAGGACAACTGCAGTGGTGTCGTTGATGTTACACTCGAGGAAGGTGAACAGTAACAAAAACCATGTCCAGGGAAGGTGAAGAAATTGGTAAACACAAGATCGCTAAGGTGTTTCGCGATCGTGGTAGCCAGACGAGGTTGCGTTCACAATCTATCTCTGGGGACGCAGAGAGTTTGAATTCACATTTCCAATTCCAAGTGAGTTGAAAACGCGCGCAAATGTTTTAAGCTAATTTTACAAAGTTATTGTTCATTAAACTGAGCTACGCTGACAGTCTCCTCAGTTCATAGGAGAAAGCAATTTAAAACTTTAGCATGGAGGCTACGCGTACTCTTTTCTAGGAACTAGGGAAGGAGCGCCAAGGAAGACTTTTTAGTTGATTGATGTATGTCTTCATTAAACATTTTTTGTGACTCATGTCATATTAATTAATGTTCACCTCTCCTTTTCAGATTTTCGTTATCCACGCATATACACCCGTCAAAGAATTCTTTACAAAACGATTTAATCTAGTAGAGTATCTCTATCTAATCCGAAGAGCTAATGATAATTCTATCACTTCAAGAGACTTTAACCCTTTAACTCCCAAGATCTGATTGTTAATTCTCCTCTCTCGCTGCTACACATTTCCTTTTAAATTGGTTACGAGAATTTGGTGTTAGATCATAATAATGACTTCTACCTGATAAGTTTGGGTATTCTCATTACCTGTTTGCAAAATACTGTATAGTTATAATAGGGAGAAGTTACATGTTCATCACTTCTGGAAGTTAAAGGGTTTAAAGTTATTTAATTAAGGCAAACACAAGGTAACTGTTAGATAATCCTTAAGTAGTACATGTAATGTTATTCATATGTTATGCATGTAATGTTTCACTATCTTCGATTGCTGAAAGGTGAATAAGCGCATTGAAATCAAAATTGATTTCCTTCAGGCTCTGCTCACTGAACTACAAGTCTGCTGTCAGGTGACTAACGTGGACGCTATTTTAGTCCCTTAAATTTCTCATTTTTCAATATATGCGTCAGCAACTGAAATTAGATTCATGAAACAGGGACGCATTTTGGAACAAAAATCATGGCAATAACTGGTGTCGGTCGCAAAGGTAGAACGGACGATTACTGGTCATTCTGATTTTTCGGTCATTGCTAACGTAATTTAATTTTAATTGCGGTCATTAAAGCATCATCCTAGGCAGACCCTTGCAAAAGTTTCACCAAAACTGCAGAAACGTGAAGATATTGGCTTAAACGCACAACATTGGAGTTATATCAAGGTGAAAAAATAAATTTTGATTTCAATCCAGCCTTTTTAATTTTCTCAAACACACTTGCAAGTGCAATGACAACTGAATGTTCTTAATAAAGACGAAAGACGGCTGCTCATCCCATTTGGCGCAATTTTCGATCGAGCGTCGAAAATAATCCGAGATTTACTTCGCCACGCTCTGTGATTGGTACAGAAAACTCTCGCTCCTTTCGCAACCAATCAGATGCAACGCTAAACCCAATCGTGACTTGTACCCTCGCGTGTTCCCGCGATTTTTGCAGTCTGCTTTTTTCTTCTTTGAATTCATATTGGTTCTTTGAGATAACTTCCTCTTCTCTGATTGGCTGAAGAAATTACTTCGGCTTTGATTTCATGACACTCAATTACTTTTGGTAATTCTGTTTCTTTCTCTCTATGCGATCGACAGAGAAAATGGCTTTGACGAATTGTAAATAGCCTGTTCCTCGTCTGGTCAGAAATGCACATGGCATAGTATTCGTGTTTTCGTGTTTCAAGCGAAATTGTTAGTTAATTCTTTTGTTTCCAATTAACATATAAACGGGTTTAAACCCTGATCCAATTCCATTTTATTTTTAATACTGAGACTGCGTGCTCTCTTTGTTACGTACTTGTTCAAACGCATCTAATTCAGTGTTTAAAATAATAAGAGGTGAGGTTGATTCAAAGGATTGCTCCTAATCTAACCTGAACTGATTAACAAGGATCTTTACATTCAATATTTCACTTAATTATATCATAAATCAGTGAAAAATATCTATATTTTCGCCGTAAACAGAAATGAAAAGAAGTATATCGACAGTTTCGCTGTTTGCAGTGACTCAGACAACGACTAAACTGACAAGTTGTTCAATCAATTGATTTATGCATACAGTATTTCATTTTCGTCAAACGCTTAAACGTTAATTCATATGATCAAATTCCGTTCAAACAAGGTACAGAAATCAACAAGGAAACTGCTTTGCATGGAACATTAACTCGAAAGACTGGAAAAGAAAGGGAATCTAGTTTCAAAAAGGGTCTAAATATCTTGAAGTTTTCCTCTTAAGAAATGACAATTGGAAAATACAGCTAACTAATGATTAACACGGGTTCTCTTAGCTGCGGAGTATCACTGTGTTATTTCCTTCCCAAGAAGCTGAGGCGTAATAAGGTTTGTCAAGAGATAATTCGCAGGAGAGCGAATGGAAGGTATGCTGAAAAATTATATCAGTATCAGGGTAAACTGTATTGATCATACACGATTGTCTGGTGATCAAAGAAACCAATCACAAGTGCTACATACGTAAAAGATGGTTTAGCTTACGGCGAAGGCACTTAAAGAGCGTGTTACTGTATTTACCATAACAGTTGTAATCTTTTAAGTTCTCAAGAATAAGAATTAGGGTAAAAAAAACTACCGTATATTCGGTTAAAAGTGATGGAGTCTTTCGACCGCTTAGGGGTGCAGCTGATATCAATGGGAAACTCTTTGTAATATTTTTCTTATATTTGTTTCATTATAAGGTCAACTTAATTTTATCTTATCCTAGTCAGGTGGTGTTGACATTGCCATGACAACTTGTATTGAGATACGCCGGCCACTGTTACAGGAATCAGCCGATTGCTACTGGCACTTTTTTCCAGGACAAAGACAAAGAAATCCGTATCATGTAAAACTCTCAGCACTGGCTTTCAGTTTGTTGTTGCTATGGCAGCTAGTTGGAGCATTTTTGTACATGGTTCGTGATGTTGCTTGCTTCCGGGACAAATCCACTGCATATCAGTGCAAAACAGATGCGGCTTTCCCTTTTTCAGAGGATGTCACGATGGTGTGGCTGGCTTCGCTATGTATTTTCACCGCTATCTCTATAGCTGCCCTTCAGAATGTTCCGCAGTTCCCCGGTTACAAGGCAATCTTACATCGGCTCAAATACGTTCCTTCATTTTGGACTTTAATAATCCTTTTGACCGTCGCCTTGTTTCGATATGTTAAGCTACTAATTTCTATCAAATCTTTGTCATCTTGGGTCGTAATTGTTTGCTTAATAGTAAGTTACATTCTCAGAACTTTCGTTGTGGGATTTTTAAATTACACCAGGTTGAACTCCTTAAAGCAGAAATATCCCATTTACATTTTTGTTATATCTAAACTGACAGTGTTCTTGTTTTTCATTGTTACCTTTATCAATCTCATGGCTACCCTTTTGGCCCTGAGTGTGGAAATCCGCGAGATGCATAAAACAGATCGAGCTAAGAACTCGCTCGATTTGAATTTGGATACCGTAAACGAACTGCTGGAGGTCTTTGGTACAACCACTTTTAGAATTAAGTTAATGAAATTCTTTTGGGAAAAGTTTTTCATCGACGACAGGAACATTCTTTGTTTCCATATACCTTTGGAGTGAGAAAGACAGCGAAAATCGAGAGAGTTTCATTCTCGTCCTCAGAGCCACTCGTTTTCGCTTACTCTGATCACATGCCAAGCTTACTGAAATGATTGCGCTCACTTGGAGCGTAAAAAGTTTTGCCTTGCTTCTTTTTTTATGTAGATTAGTTTTTCAATTCCTGCTTCTAAATGTTTTAAAAATTTTTTTCTAGTTATGTGTTCTAAATTTGTATAATTTATTACCATGTTTAATTGTTTGAACAGTGTGACTGTGTATGTTTTAAAAAAGCTCTCCACTTCCGGTTTTCCGTGTCATGTACTTCAGTGTGTATTTCCTGAACCACAAAGCCATAGTTAAATGTTCTAAATTTGTATAATTTATTACCTTGAGATTTTAATTGTTAATGTTGGAACAGTGTCTTAATGAGTTCCTTTGACACATGAAAGACGCAGTGTGTATTTTGAACCACAAAGCCATAATTTCGTCATACTATACATACAGAAATGCTCTCCACTTTTCTATGTTTCTGGTGTTGTGAAAGTCTGCTACAACTACCGATGATTGCTAAGTTTAATTTGAATACTTCGTTGCAGAGAACTGCCGTTCCGCGTTAGTTTAAAACTTACCTTAAAATGCTGAGGAATTGACAAAAATATGTTAGAAAAGTAACAGTATTTACGTAAAAAAAAAAAAAATAAAATAATAAAAACCAGGATTCAATAAAGGATGCAGAAGCAGCCATTCAGTCAAATCTAACTTTCCTCAAGGCAATTATGAGAAGTTAGGTATGTTAGCTGTGCTACAATAAAAAAGGGAATTCATCACTCCAAGGTAGATGATGTTAAATCTTGTCTCAATTGACTTTAATTCAGAGGTTGAGACCACCCTAATGTACATTTGAATGCAGCGCTTGACTGCTGTGCCATGACTTTCCATTATGATCAGAATATTATTTTGAGTTGGATGAAGAACTCAATGCTGAATGCAAAGAAAAATTTCAGCAGGAGTATTTTAGTTTCCTTTTGCTCAATGAGTGAGGTAGTGGTGTCAGATATGTTTAGTCACTATCTCGCTGTTTTGAAAAGAAGTAAGGACTTAACTTAACTCAAAACTGTAAGAGGACTTTCCTCATTCGTCAAGTATAACTCAACTTCAAGTGCCATAATACATGTAATAATAATGTAACTTAAGAGACGGCATGAGTAAATCTTATTCTTGGTGAACTTCAAACCTTAGTTTGAGTCACTTCCTAGGAATCAATTATCAACTGATTGAGTAAATCAAATATGTGAACTCAAACTAAAGGGAAACTAGCATTAGAATCAAATAAAATTTTTAACTTTGTATATAACCTAGTCCTAGAAAGATTAACCAAAAACATGTACCATTATAAAAATTAAAAAATGGGTTCCATTTTTCCGTTTTCGCATTGAGTAGGATAAAAATGGGGGTTCTGGCGCATTTTAATATCCACCTTGATTTTTAAGGCAACTCATGAATTTAACCTTGAAATCAACCTTGATTTCAAAAAACAGTTCTTGCACATTTTGGAGACAACCTTGATTTCAAAGACAACTTAAATTATTCACCTGTGAATAATCTTCACACCCTCTTCAGAATGTCTCACTCGTGAGTTCTGAAGAGGATGTGAATAATATCAACTTGAACGATCCTCTTGTCACGCCATCGGGGTGTTAATTGTTCGTTTGAAGATTTTCAAATATTAACGTTGTATCTTCTCGCAAAGAAGTCGTGGCGTGCCTTCATTTGTTCTTCTGTCAAAATTGTGTCTTTGTAAATGAGAAGTTATCTCATAAATAGGTCAAGAAGACTCCATGATCTTTCAGAATCTTATGATTCAATGGAATCCTACATTTGTTCTGATAGACATCAATAAACTTATTCTCCTTTACATCTCCTGATTTCTTCATATCTTCCGCATAGCATCTGATCTTCGAAAGATCATCAGACTGAATACCTTCTCTGAACATGCTCGTCCTCTCATTCTCAGTCAAGAAGAGGTCCTCAAAGAGCTTGAATAGATCATAACCATCAGTGTCCTGCGCGATTTCTCCTGCGAATTTCACAGTCAACCTGTCAACAAGAGCTCTTGCGACATTGTTCACGGTAGACATTGTTTGCGTGACCACTAACTGCCGAGTCAAAGATGAGTGAAAGAGATCCTGATACAAGGACAACTCCTTCACTAAGAATTTAGTTAGAATTTACTTTTTTGAATGAGTGCGTGACTCTATATCGGCAGAGAGCGAGACCGCGTGAGAACTCGCAGGAATGGAGGTGCTTCGTGACAAAAGTCACGCACTTCCGGTTTTAAGCTTGCACAGAGTTATGGACTAGGGGACTCCCCCTTTCGTTTTTACAACGCGCAATTAAGATTCTTCGTTCTATAACGAAGCTGTCGACTCTCTCTTGGTACTTTCTCAGTCTTAGTGACTTTTTTTAAAACACTTCCATGATGGATTGAGGAAGCAAGGTCGTAAAGCAGTCAAACGTGCCTTCCATTTCCTCGACAGAGGTAAGAACGCATGGTTGTATCAGATTTTTGAATGTAAGGTAAATACTGTTATTTCGAATTTCTCAGTCAACATTTTCTCCCTCAAATGCTCTTAATCTGTCCTAATTTTCTCTGATCTCCGGCAGTGAAAGACGTTCGTGCAGTTAACTAACGAGGATTGCTAACTTTTACTTGATTCTGGGGTGTATTAATTGTATTACCGCTTCGTGTTATTTAAGAGCTAATTAAGCTGAGCTTGTTTGAACAAGTTACAGCTGTCGAATTCACAAAAATTCGCAGGCGATACCCGGCATTTACCTTGGATAAAATAAGTAATTCGGGAGAATTAAAAGGAATATTAAAGTCATTGATTTGATTTTGTGCAGGCGCTGATGATCGGAACACTTTCAGTTTCGTCTGCGTGTCTTGCACACAATCATGATCGTGTTTTGCACTAGCTTTCGTGTCAGGCTAACATAAGTATTAATTTAATGTGCTCCCCTATTTACGATGCATTTGATCAAAAACCTATAAACATTTCCAGCTTATTTCACGTGTTTATGTTTATTATTTCATACAGTTTAAAAGTAATTTTTTTCCTTTTTTGATAGACTGCTTAGATTCTCCCTTTTAACTGTACTGCTATACTGATTTCCATGTTAAATATTGAGAAACGATGACTTTTCTTCAAATGTCACCTAGTCATTTATTGGAAGTGTCCTTTCAACTAACTGCCTTTGATTTTTAGGATTCCAATTCATCAACTGGTAATGATAGATTGGTATCTGAGTAAAGTTTACCTTTAAATGGGTAGCAGAAATTAGCCAGGTAAGCCTGATGAAATGCCAGGGGGAAAGGGGATGGACTAGCATCCCATCCAAGGGGTGTAGTTACTCCCACTCACTTCATGTGAGGAAACCAGTATTATAAGCTCAGGGCCTAGATGGGCCACTGCTCAAATACAGACTTTACCCGACTACCGCAGCCTCTTAAATAATTTGAATTGCTGTTGCAACAAATTATATGAACTTGCAACACTTGCCCAATTTATTTCAGTCAATTGAAAATGTATTTTATAAATATTGAATCATATTTTAGTACATATCTTTGTTCTTTTGCTGCTTTTATAGTATGACATTAATTGCTTGTGATTTTGTGTCTATGTATCCCTCCCATTCTCAGAAGGGAAAAAATATTTATTTTACAACTGGGAATATGTTGAGCTGATGTTTATTACCATTTGCAACCAACTTTCTTTCAGGCCAGGATAACTTGAAAGCAGCACCTTTGTAAGAAGCATCAGTCTTCTTACAGTTGCTATGGCTACAGAAAGAAGTCCAATTAAAGTTCCATGTGAAAATGAAAACTTACCTGAAAAAGAAAATGCACCAGATTTTGATGAGGACACTTTGCAAGGTGAGCTGTGTTGAGCTTCAGCTTCAGTTATTGTTAGAACTTCTTCTATTCCACCATTTTCAAGAATGTAAGCAGATGTGGAGAAGGATATAATTATACACTGTATTAATACTTTAAAAGATATTTGGCCAGTTATGACTCTCTTCTATGATTATAATATGCTGTTCATTTAGAGGATCTATGACACAGAAACCTTTGTTATTTTCTTTTCTAAAAGTTCAAAGCAAGTACACTGTACACAAAGTTATAATAAGTAAATACTTTATTTGATCATGGTACAGCATCCATTTTGTAAGTTTGCATCATAGTTACCATCATCATCATCATCTTCCCATTATAATGCAACAATCAATTGAAAGCTTCAACTCCTCCCCCCCCCCTCCCCCCTTCCTTTTCCCCTGGGCAACCCACAGGCAATTTATCAATTTTCATCCAAGCCAAACAAGGGGGGGATTGAACCTTGCCTGACTACATTGGGGAATTTGAATCAGAAGTGTCAAGACTTTATAATAGAATACAAGTGTTATATTGATCTCTAACTGTAGAGGTGTTTAAGGTAAACAATGCACTTTTACTAACAAATGGCTTAGAAGGTAGAAGTCTATATTAAGGTTTAGGTTTTATGCTTAATCATCATCATCATCATAATCATCACCATTGTTACCCACATTATAAGCATTATCATAACTATCATCTTTTTTATCATTTTTCTTATCATTTAGGTAATAACATACTGTTTGTCTATATTAAGTAATATTGCTTCTGGTTGTTTAATGCTTGCAACATTTGGATCTTATTGACTCATTAACCATCTAAATGTATTGAAAGCAGAAGACTCTTCTACACCTATAATTATGCCAACTCTCCCTGATTATCAGGGAGTCTCACAGTCACTGAAGCAGACTCTGAGGGTCTCCCACATGGGTCATCAAACTTTCAAGATAAAAGAGGATTTGGTTCAGCTCCACACAGAAACATCACATTCGAACTCCAGATTTCCCACATCTAATGTTATCTGCCCTTTTATTAATATTAGGGTTCTTATCTTAATTTTCTTGATTGCACTTAGACTGTTTCAAAGTAGGGATTACACTTTCTTCTAAACAACAACCACAACAGTAACTGAGTCTGATTGGTTGAGCTTTCAACCAAAAAATCTCTCATTAATTTACTGAGAGGGTCTTTCCTGTGAAGGGGGGGGACTGCACACATTATCTAAGCTTTTCAGGGGATAGGTTAAGTCAGGCAGATGCAAAAGTGGCATCTGGCACTAAAGGAAAAATCTGCAGATTTTGAATCTCCAGATCTTGGCAGCTCTGCTTATACACACTAATAATTATTAACTACAACCACAGACTTTTTTAAAATTTTTTCTTTGCAGCCACAGCTGATGTTTATAGGAATAAAGGTAATGAGGCCTTCAAGAAAGGAGATTTCATCAATGCTATTCATTTTTACACCAAAGGAATTAAAATGAACTGCAATGACAAAGAACTGAAGGCCAAACTGCACAACAACAGGGCTATTGCACATTTTAAACTTGGTAAGATGATGAGAGCTTTAATATGCATTTTTTTCTCTTTTGAAGCTATTGGGCTGTTAATAGTAGTTTTCTGAAAAAGGTGATAATTTTGAATGTAGGCCTTGTCTTGGCCTCTTAAACATACAAAGAAGTAACCTCTTACCCCAGATATCAATGAGCATCACAAGTTTTTCCTAAAATTGTTGTAATGGTGGTTGGTTAAAATGCTACATGTATGGCTGATCAGAGATATTTATTTCAATAACAGGAAATCACCAGTATATTCACTAAGGGATGCAGAAGCAGCCATTGAGTTAACTCCAACTTTCCTTGAGGCAATTATGAGAGGTTAGATATGATAGCTGTGCTATAATAATAATAATAATAATAATAATAATAATAATAATAATAATAATAATAATAAAAAAAGAACTCAACACTCTAAGGTCAAATGAATTTCAATCTTGTCTCAATTGACTTTAATTAAGAAGTTGAGTCCAACTTGATGTACATTTGAATCCAGCTCTTGACTGCTACGCCATTACTTTCCATTAATTATGATGAGAATATTATTTTGAGCTGGATGAATTAAGAGCTCAAAGCAGAATGCAAAGCAAAATTTCAGCATGAGTATTTTAGTTCCCTAAGCTCGATGAGCAAGGTCAAGTGGTGTCAGATATGTTTAGTCACTATCTAGCTGTTTTAAAAAGAAGTAAGGATCAGGACTTACCTTCACTCAAACCTGTAAGAAAACTTTCCTCATTCATCAAGTATATCAGGAAGCCACTGGGCTTATGGGGTAGAGCCACCTTACTTACAACAGTATTTAAAAAATAATAAGTGCTGTGAATGTGCAGCTTTGCCAATACAGTGTTTATTTAAGTAAAAACTCTTGCATTTTTGTCTTAAAGCTAAAAAGATTTGACAAACTAGTGAATGAAACAGCTCTGTGATCACTGCACAAGGATCATTATGGTGGTAAATCTTGTCTTCATCTTGGAGACACAAACAAAATAAAACACGATGGATATTGGAGGCTAATGACACTGAAACACCTTATTTTGCAGATCTTCTTCTTAAACTTCGTCCGCCATTTTGGATTTCCCTGGTGCACATTTGATTTGAAAACACTGCTGGTTTTATTTGATGGCGACTGCAGAAGGTGTTTCACATGTTCTTGTGTGTACATACAGGGAATAACACAGGGAAATACTTGGGGTCGGTGGGAACTAATTCCACCAATAGTTTTATACCAGAAGCATGGTTCATGGTTGCTGCAAGTTCTGGGAAAAGTCAGGGATATAAAGATTTCCTCAAGGTCAGAGAATATACATCTTTGAAAGAAGTCTGGCAAAATTTGAAGTAATTATCTTGCATTTTAATTGGACCCTTTATGATTATGTTACGTTTACAAAAATTGAGAGATAGTATATGCCCTACTTCTCATGAAAGTTCTTATCCGTAACTCTGGCTGTAAGCATGTTTAACAGTCTGCTTTGGTGATAATCACCTCTTTTTTTACATTCAAATAATAAGTAAATATATATATTTCAGTTTACAAAAATGAAAAAAAATATGCCCAGCTTGTTATAATGATTAGCTATGTAACAGTCTGCATGATTCACAGTCATTGGTTGCTGTCATATTCATTACTAAATAAAATGATGAATACAGAGAGAGCTGTTGTTATGCTTCTCTTCATAAGGAGATCCTCAAGGATCTCTGCAAAAAAAAGCATGCAATGTTCTTTGCAGCCAGTTTTTGATGTAACACTAGGAGACACAATTGATCTTGATGGCAGTAACATTATGCACTCCTCCATGTTAAAAGGACTAAAACTTAGTCATGACTTATTCTCTTGAAGATACTATTAAATTTGAAAATCCTAAAAAAGCCCCTACAATTTGAAAATCCTCAAAGATCCCCTACCATGCATCTTCAGTGCTCTTGCTTTCAGTGCTTCCTAATGATCACAACAGAGACATAGCTGGAAGAAATTGGGTAAAACTGACATGATCTTGTTACTGTAGGCCAAACAAGGACACTGAGAAACCTCTAATCTCTAAAGTACTTCATATGTCAATCACTGTGCAACAGCTTGACAACTGATCTGCCATGGGCGGCATGCAACATTGGTATGCAGAATGAAAAGACCATAAGAACCCCCCCCCCCCCCCCCATCCCTGACATGGTGTATTGAAGTATAGAAAAATCTGACAGAACTTGAATCTCTGTTTACAAAATATAAACAAAGAAAAGACAATATGAAACAATTTCCCCCCTAACCCCAACATGGTATCTGTAGAAACTAGCATGCTTTAGGTATTCCAGACACAATTCTATGTATAATACAGAATTGTGTCCAGAATACCTAAAACAAAACAAAAAGGAAATCAACTGAAAAACACTCATAATTTAACACATTAAATGCTAATAATATAACAATAAGCTTTTCAAGGAGTTTTGAATCTAAAATTGTTTTCACTTCTTCTTCACTTTAACTTTCAATTACACTTGTCATAATTTGTACCCACTAATTAAATGTCACAGAATGTAATGCAATCCAGTACATCACAACATCAAAGTTATTACCTTCATTGCTATGCCATTCCAATATTTGAAAATGCTAAACAAATGCATTCATATTCTTTTCTAGCATATACTTCATACAGCTTTTAATGAAGTACTTACTGTGGAACAAAACAAGTTCACCAACATCATTTACCATAGAAATCTTTCACTTCACACATTGTTCCTAGAAAAAGATGAACACTGTCAGCAAATGACAGGCATTATTATTAATAGTAAAACAGAATAACTTCCCATTTTTGACAGATGTTTTTCAATGAAAATTTCTTTTTAATCTTGCTGTTACTTGAAAACACAAACTTCAATTGTCTAATACCAAAAATATTTTTCACATTCATAAAATCTTAGCATACACTCTATGGAAATTTGAGCCTGTCAGCCATTCACATGCATAACATGAATTTATTACAACGTGTTCAATCTCATTTAACCCTTCTATAGGCAGTTCACAGTCATGCTTTATCTTTCAGTTCTAATAGACTCCTTCTTTTGCTCTTACAAAGGACTACAACACTTGAAACATCAGCTTTAGAATTTCTTTACAGAGACCTATTTACATTATCAACTCAGTTAATGAAACCAGATAATCTCTTTCTAACAGTCTCTGCTTTTTTTCTGATTGCATTTTTTAATGTCAATGGCTTTAGTTTTATGAACTCAAACCAAGTGCAGTAAAATCACTTTTATTAAATCCACTTGGTTTTAATTTTACAAGAATATCACAAATCAAGCAGTATCATGTTTTTCAGTTATAAAATAAACTATTTGTTTCTAACTTACACTCACAGGATGAATGGTTTGGCAAGCTTGAAAACAGCTTTCAGGGTGAATTTATAGCCTTTAAAATGATGCAAAAGTTCAATCCTTCAAAGAACCTGCAGAAAAAAAGCAATGAATGAGACATTACAGTTTAATTTATATCATTTATTTACTAAAATCTGTCAGATAAAACCATATTCTGTACTCTACCAGCAAAATAATTGTAATACATCCACTGATATAAAAAGTTATCAGCATCATAAGGTGCTTTTTACCAGTACCAGTATAATTCACCAAATTTATCATTTGACTTCTGACTTTGTTGATTTGGTTGCTAATATTTGAAGTAGGTATATGTTTCCATCAGTACAAACTTCTCTTACCTATTTTTTAATAGTTTGTAAAATTTCTTTGCCAATTGAATTGAACAAAGGTTTGCATCATCATCCTCTCCATGGATAACAACTGTGAATTTGTCAGTGACAAGATTTTTCTTGATGTACTCTTCTACATTTCTGAACTTCAGAGATCAAACAAAGATGATTAACCCACATTATAGTTATAATGAATAAAGCTTCGCACCATCTTCCTTTCCATGGATAAAAACTGTGAAGTTGTTTGTGACAAGATTTTTCCTGATGTACTGAGTACATCAGGAAAAATCTTGTCACTGACTTCTACATTTCTGAATTCAGAGATCAAACAAAGATGATTAACCCACATTAAAGTTAATGATTGGTAATACAAGATGTAAAATCTTGGATTACAGGAAACAAAAAATTTACCTCAATTTCAATGCATTTTGCACAACAAGGAATAACTGAATTGTATATAACCATCATGTGAGTATCTACACTGCACTTTCAACTGGATCCCAAATATCCTGAGCAGAGTGTGCATCTAATTACCACCTTAAAAAGTTTTCTTTTGGATAACATAGTCATTAACATAGTTTAGTCATTAACATAGAATTAAAGAAATACTCTCACTTATGAGCTGAGATTGTCAGTAAGCATCTTTGATTTTGACCTTTGGAACAGTTTTGATACTAAAGGTACCTTCCCAGCATTCAAAAGGAAAACATCATTGCCTGATTCATCACAGTGATCTGAATAAAGAAATATTTAAAGCTCCTTTCAGAAAAGATTATCATACCACTTTTAAGACTTATTTTCTTAAACTACATGAACCAAAAACTCAAGCCCTTGTGATTTCAATCACTCACCACTTTTTGTGAAGAAAGTCAGCTGACATCATATTCATCACAGGTACGATGAGATTGTTCCAAAGCAATGCGATCTTCTTCAACCTGTGAGTCTGCATGGTTTGAAAAATTTTGGTTAAATAGTGACATTTCCTTTCAATTCAATTGTAGTTAATTCATCAGAGGAAATCCTTAAATTAATTATACATTAATTATCTCAACCCAGACAATCACACAACTTTTCACACACCTTGCAGTTGAAATCTCATGCAATACAAAATGGTTAACAAAGTCATAAAAAAAACCTTTCACCTTTAGGTATTTTATCGATCATTCATAGGAAAATACTCATCAGATACGAGAGCTTACTGTCAGTAAAAACCCTGAGCATGATAGAATGTTATTGCCTTAAATTTTTCACCACAAAGATAGTTACATTACAATTTACCTTTCTCAATGTCCTCTGTTGTTGGCCTAACCGCTGAAGACTTTCATGGCCATTTGAACCAGCAGGATTTCTAATCAAGAATAAAATCATTCAATCATTAATCAATGATCAGCCCATGTTGATTGAACTTCTTAACCACTGTCTTGATTTTTAAACAGGTTAACTGTCTACATTACTTATTCTATAGTAAACATTTTCCTTCTCATAAGCCTAGGGTGACTGTTAATGAGCCCACTGATAATTTAGGTTATCCCAAGGAAAATCAACAGCCACCACTTGCCAAAGGACACTCCTACATCATCATTTGGCAAATGAAGGTGAAAATAAAATCAATAAAATTTAATGAATGAATATACAAAATTAAATAAATCAAAGGTTCTTTTATACCAAATGCAAGTTCCATTGAACTTTCTACTTCCAATCTTCTTTCCACTGGGCTCAGGTGATGATGGGGACTGGGGAGGTTGATCAACAGGGGGGTCAGAGCTTTCCTGAACAAGCACTATGAAGAGGTCAAATGGTTGACAATTTGAATGTTTATTTTTATGTTTAGTAGATATGTAAACATTCACAGAAAATTCCTTGATTATTCCCCATGATAAAACATCAACTATATTTCACTCATGGCGAGGTTTATACTGAGTCTACAAATGCATAATAATTGCAAATGACTCCTTCTTCAGCTTAACCCTATTTAACATGTTCCTTCTTCCTGTAATATTCACACATTATCCAGCAAACAGGTAGTGAGAATTCTCAAACTTATCTGGTAGAACTTTTTACCTTGATCTAATCAAATACTCATAACTAATTTACAAGGAAATGTGTAGCAGCTAGTGGGGAGAATTAACATTCAGATATTTAAGTTAAAGAGTTAAAACACTGGCAAATTTTACAAAAGTTAACTATCCTAAGTAATAACAGATTGAGAGAATATTCCAACTGGAATATACAAAAGGCTAACCACAGCCCTTGGCTGAACTACTTGCAATAGAACATACTCATTAAACAGCAGTAATTACCTTCTTGACTGGGGGCATCAATTGCTGGGGAGGCCTCATATTTCTGAGCTGGAATTGGAGTCCCTCCTCCAGGCTCAAAGACTGCATTAAGACAAAAAGTTAACTATCCTAAGTAAGTACAGATTGGGATAATAGTCCACCTGGGTTACAAAAGGCTAATGGCAGCCATGGCTGAACTTATTGCAATAGAGCATACTCATGAAACAGCAGTAATTACCTTCTTGACTGGGGGCATGGACTGGAGTTCCTCCCACAGGCTCACAGACTGCAGTAAGACTCTCACTTGGTGTCACTTCACTATAGGATGATGTCAAGATTCCAAACACATTTAAAGATGATGCACTTCTATTACCAAAATCTTTCTCTGACTGTTTAGTGCTGCTTGATACCCTTACAACAACGTCCCCCAAGCTTGATGCAGCAGCTTCTATTATTCTCTCAATGTAAAGGTCAAGCTGCTGTTCATCAATTTTCAATGACTCCCTAGAACTGGGAGTAGCATTCTGAAAGTAATAAATCATTATAATTATTTCTTAGCTGAAAAACTGTGAAAGAGAAAAGTATAAATAAACTTCCCATTTGCTGTTATAATATTAATGACAATGATTAATTTAAAAAGGTATTTAAAAGTTATGATTGATTCTTTTGATACAAATTGTTCCTGAAGCACAGCATGCACTACACTTATTTGAAACCCCATTTGAAGCCAGCCAGTGCATACATAATTCTATATTTAAACTCAAGAACCTGGTACTTAACAGGCTCCTAGCTTTAAGGTAGCTAATGCATCAAGTTTAAAATGAAAAAAATTAAATGTTTTTTACATATTTAAAAGGAGAAAAGTCACTTAAGAAAAGTAAAGTAGAAACTATTACCCTGGTCTTGATTCCTTTAGAGGTTCAAGTAGTTCATGTATGATATACACACTAAATCTTAATTCTTTAGAGTTCTGTCACAATATACAGACTGGTAAACCAAAAGCTGGTAAATCCTTATAGGTTTATGCATAGTGGACTCAAAGAGATTTGATAAACAGGGTTTGAAAATAAGGAGAATCTAGTGCACTTTAGACAAGGTTAGTTAGTTTCCAATTGGGAAATGTTGAAAATAAGCTAAAAAGTGCGCCATTGCAATGTGTAAAATAATCCAACTGCGCTCTTTCTTAAAAAAGGTAGATTATTGCATTTCTATGACAATGAGACCCTCACCATATAAATTGAGTGTCCAGCAATTCGACAAAGAAACGGCCGCCATACTAAAGTGAACGTTTGAAGAAAATGAACGAGCAGCTGAAGATTTCTTTCCTCTCTATCGATCACTTAGAGTTCTCCTTCACGTTTTTGGACAGAGATACTCTGTCCAATACTCTCTAATACTCTCCTTTCATAACGTCTGCCAGACGATCGATTGGGATCGTTAGAAAAGTTCGCCATGTTTTAGCCATAAATTTATTCCCTGCCCCTCCCCTGTAAAGACAATGTTTTGACTCGTAACCAGGGTCCACGCCGTGCCCTGACACTTTTCTTGGGAAGATTCCTTTTAAGCCAAGGGTGGCGATCATCCCCAAAAATTGAAAAAGTTATTTCAAACAAAAAGAATAACGAATGAGATTAGCAATTCAGTATAAACGAAACCTCGCTAGTAAATAAGTCTCCAGCCTGTAAGCGCGCGCAAAAATACCGCACTATAGCACGAATAGGAAAAAACCTTCTTGTTCAGATATTCCATCTTGCAATGTTTTCCATAGTGCTATGTTGTCTTGAAAATAATTTTAATATTACTTTTAGCTAACCCTTTCCCATTATTCAGCTATTTATTCTTGGCGTCAAATTTCCTTGCGTTTACATCTGGTCCTTCATTCCCTACGCTTTGTCTCTTGGCTTCCTCTTCCAACACATATGAATTCTCCTTTTTCTTCTAATATAAAGACAACTCAACTTTATGTATGCAGGAGCCCAAAGGCCTGGCACACGACAAATTCCGAATGTGTCCGACGAAATATAGCTAGGATCTTATTTTAACCACCCTAAGTACAAAAAAATTAACAACGAATAGTACTCACGTTTACAGGGCTCATCTCTTTGATTGCTTCCATCACTTTCTTGAATTTTCCTCCGAATGACTTATGAAGCGCCTAACTCCAACCAACGGAAAGTTATAATGACGGGTTGTAATTTTCGCGCGTCGTGATGACGTAACAGACGAGATAATAAACCAATCAACAGATTAGCAAGTAAACGTAACTTCTGCCTCGTTTTCAGGCGCCTTTGCTCTGGTTCAGGAAAGCGCGGGAAACTGCCCGAGTGCGCAGACTGCTGGAGAGGAGGTTATTGACAGATTTTAATAAACGTTCGCCCATTGACTACCTCAGGCTCTAATTTACTCAAAGCGATTGCAAAAGCAACAGACAAGTCCAAGAAACGAGACTGAGAAAGATCGGGAGCTTATCAGGAAAAACAAAGGGGTGCGTCGTTCCGCAGGTAAACCAGTGTAGGGCTGTCGGTTTCTTTGGCCACCACGATGCGCTGACCACTGACCGCGAGAATTTAACACAGACTTCTCGCAAATAAAGGGTTCTGGATAGAAGAATGAGAAAGATCGGGAGCTTTCCAGGAAATAATGAAAAGAGCGCGTCCTCCCGCAAGAAAACCAAGTCTTCAAGCAAGCTGTTTTGTCGTTGATGCTTAGTTTGCTTGCGAACATATGAAAATGAGAGAAACATATGAGTGCTAAGTTCTGCTTCGTACGTAGCATGAAACCACTTGGCTATAAATTAACAAACATTCCTCGCCAAAAGTAAGCTTCGCTCATCGACCTGTAAATGATACAAAAGAGATGATATTAAACCTTTTACCACAAGCAGTGACCATTAAGTAATTTTTGGCCACAAGTTCATTACACAGTTTTTTTAAAGCTGGATTGAAGCTTTGATATCCCAACAAATTGTCGATATCAAAAAACATGGAAATATATGTAGGGCAGCAGTTATGAACATCCATTTTCAGATGCTGGGAGTGAGTACGTAGCTTCCAAAAACTGGAAAGGTTTCTAGAAAGTATTTCACTTTGGATATCATGGTTCATTTTACCTGATCCGTAAAACATTCTACGAGGTGGCTCTTCTTGTCCACTGACACAAATTGTCAATAAACAATGCAGGTAAACGTAGAGTTTAAAAATCTCAATTGGCCGGAGGCAAACCAATCGGCTATAGACAAAGTGCAGCCAAGGAGTTGAGCTCGAGCAATCGAGAACAAATCCAGTAAGTTGCAGGGTAAAGGACTTTAACCTGGAACCTAGTGCCTTAATCACTCGGGCACACAAGATCAACGCTGTTATTTCTGTGAGTCGTGACGTTTGTTTTCCTAAACCAATTCACACGCAACACACGCCCAGGCTTCAGGAGTTTTGTGTTTCATTTCATGTCATTTTTCACCTCAAGCGAACACCAGATATTTTGTATTGTACTGTTTTGTTTTTCTTCCCACCTACCCTCCCACCCTCGGTGATTTTACGTGATGTCATAGGGTGGCAGAGAGGTTTACTCAGCACATCATTGGCTGTTGTTTACTTTTCGTTCGTATTCTTAATAAACTTCTCTCTGTGCCGAAAAGCGAATTGTGTTTTATTTGTGTCAGGGAGCGTAGTTGGGGAATAAGTTTCTTTTGGGAAAGGCTTTTCAACGACGATAGGAACATCCTTTGCAACCGCATTACTTTGGAAGGAAAGAAAAATCACAGGGTGCCCACTCTCGTCCTAGGAGCTACTCGTTTTCTCTCATTTCGAACATGAGGAATGCTTGTGGATTGTGTTTCTAAGACTTACCTCATAAGTTAAGCGTTTAGGGTAACAAGGAAACATGTAAAAATACTGAGAAAAAATGTCAAAATAATAAAAGTTATTACATAAAGTATAGCTAATTAAATCGTATGAAAGTGAGAGAATAATGTTATGTGAAGCGCTCGAGAAGTATGTCAGTAATGTTAAGGTATGTGTATACGAAGTATGCTGAGTTTTTGGGAGATTTCTACTCCAAGCGCAGTCTATTAAGAATATTTTGGTTGCTTTTGGCCTCGCACCAGCTGCAGGCATTGTAATTAACAACGTATGAATAAATGGGCTTAGTTTCTAAGGAAACTGTGGTGCTGCGTCGGTGAGGGGTACAACAAGATAATTTGGTTTTATAATCAAACTGCACAAGGTAGAGTTCAAATAACGCGAATATATGTATATACCACATGTGTACAGTTAGTTATTTTGTAATGTTAAAAAACCTATTTAACTGGTCGGCAGCACACGCTGCGCTTCTCTATCCACTTTGCTTTTCCCGCCTTATTAGAAATGAGCGGAAAGACTTGACAGAAAAAAAAGCAGTTGGATCATAAATAACTTATTGGTGTGTAGCATTGCTTAGTATTTTCACTCCTTGTTTGTATATTGACGAGCCTGTGGGGCAAGGCAAAATACGGCACAACTCGTAAAAATACTCAGGTATGTCACCGCCATATAAAAAAATCCGAGAAATCCTTTCAGGAAAAGAAACTGGAAACGTATCTCCTGAACCAGCGCGGTGCCACTTACCCTCCGGGCTCTAAAGTCCTCTAAAGGATATGCAATCAAAAAATGAGAATAAGATAAATAATAGTTTATGTTCACGTTGCAGCAAAATTTTTGTGAATATATTCCGAGACGAATTTGTTTCTGATATTAGAAAGACTTACCTCTCATGTTTTATGTTAAGAGTGCCAATGAGAGCATGTAAAAGTGAAATAAAAATAATGTAGACGTTCCTGCAGTTAACTGACGAGGATTGCTAACTTTTATTTGATTCTGGCGTTCTGATTCGATAAGCTGGAAACCACTCCGCTTCGCGTCATGGTTTCCTACGCTTATCTTGTGTTCTCCCAACCTCCCGCGTGTTTACATCAGGCTATGTAAACACGGAAACCATTTTACATTTCTTCATTATTACATGGCAAGGTAGTCTAGAGGTAAATTCGAGAATTTGAAGCAAATTGCGGCTTAGCGTCGGTTTCACGGGGAAGATTGAGTTTGTAGTAAATTGAAATGAAACTATAGTATATGTGCTTGAATTCTGCGTTGGATTTGTGGCCGCCCGATCATTTTGAGCTTGGATTTTCGCTTCTCGGAACGGGCGTTCGGACATGCAGTGTGTTGCTCTGGGTTTCTACGACGTAGTAAACTTAGAAATGGATAACTCGCTAAAACGGGTTCCTTTTTAACTTAGTAAGCGGTCAGATAATAAGCGATACCCTGTGGAAGTAAGGTGAGAAATTTTAATTGAAAATTTGGATAACATTCATTTATCCCCATGAGCGGTGATAAATATTGTCAGACAGACGATTATAATTTCGCCACGACTCTTATTTCGCAAGATGATCATCTCACAGCAGAAGTTTGGGTCGCCTGTGGTATGAGTTCAGATAAATTAAGTTTTTTTCTTTCAATTAAGGCGAAGAAATGCGATATTTTCGTCCGTTTGAAAGTTATGCTCTCTTTCTGTTGCAAAAATTTAACACTAGGTACACAAAGAGTTCCATCTCAACCCACCCATGCTACGCATGTCCGCGTTCTTGAAAATAATGTCACGGATCAGGGGGCTGTGCACAAAGAATAACATTAATCAGAAATTTTGGGCTCATTTGATAAGTGTAATGGTTTGTTGCCTTCGCAAGAGCCTCGTCGATTAAGGTCGAGATTTATCGGGATATGAAAGGTTCGCATTTCATTTATTGTATCATTTTTAAGTTGAACGTGTTGTTACCGCTCCACTACTCATAACGCAAACGCCAAACAACTCATATTTCATCACGTACCATGAAAACAACGTCCAAAGTTCATTAGAACATACCCAATCCAAGCACTACATGAACATCAGGCAATTTTTCACGTGCTTGAATTGTATTCCACCAATCAAATTCACATCTGCGCGCGCCCCTGTATTACTCTCTGTTTAAGACTCATTTCCTCGGGAAAGTCCACAACGTATTACATCATCAACATCTGGTTTTTCCGAGAACGTCACGCAATGGTAAAGACATCATTATGGTCTTGAAACAAATAGTGAGTCATTTGCATCCAGTCGTGGTCGAGTGAACATCTTTTGTGGCAAGCTCGAAGCGTTGCTTCTACGTTACCGCGAGCTAAATTTCAGAGGAATTTAATCAAATACTTCTACGTCGTGAGACCACTAGGAAAAGAGTACCCTCTCGACACCGTTCGTGTTAAGTCACCTTCTGAAGAACTCATCAAAATATCTTCGGTCTTGCAAAATTTTACAAATTTACCAGGTTCTTGAGGACGAATTCAACGCTCCGTCGTTGACGAAACGTCGTTTTGAGGTAAGCTCTGAAATAATTTATAAAACCAAGTGTATTTTTGTCTCACCCACTCGCAGTGTTCCATCAGTAACATTGCCAGTT